AGACGAAAACTCACGTTAAGATAAAAGCATCTTTCACCGTGTGATGATGGGTCACGAAAACTCAGGAATACAATTTTTCTACATATTAGGGTATCATGAAAAAAATATATATATATTACCAGCTCCCTACCCAACACTCAATTTATTTGAAACTATCAAGCCCGACCTTGACATTGATACCTATAAATACTCTTAGTATTGTTTTAACTTTTCCACGTACAATCCAATATAATATAGATTGAATTCATGTTTCGCGTCGTGATCTAAACGAAGATTACTCAGCCTTCGTTATCGAACGTATGTGACCTAGTTCTACTATTGGTTTCTCTATCTAGTCTGTATTTATTCCAACTTGTACTTCATAAATTACTGACTCCTACCACTTTCTCACAGACCGCATTGTAGACGACAGCCACGTACACCTTTCTTCCTGATGTAAATCCAACGACTCAGATGGTTGAATGTTGTTGTTTCTTTGGAAGTAAAGCCACATGAGACGAAATATTAGAAAGGAAAAGCGACTGCATATTACCGAGGATATGAGAACAGTCAAAACAGAGTAACTACAATGGATAAAGAATGAAGCAATTCAAAATGAGATTAATACGAAATAATGAAGTTGAGTGGACAGAGTAATTGCAACAATCTACGGTGAATGATGTAAAGAAGAATGGAAGTGAAAGCTAGCGTACAAATTTGTTCTGTACAAATAGACTAGTATTTACATGATATTTTAGAGGGTTTGTCAATCAAAAATAGATAGTCATTCAATTAAATGAACTTCAGTGATTTTATTTGACAAAGAAGTTTTAGTTAGACAAATGTATGTTACCACAACTGACCTGGTGGAATGTTCGCACACCATTATTTAAAATACTGTAGCACCACTGTCTATACAATTCGATCAATATTAGGAACTAAATAACATGGCATTGGTGAAAACTAATATATATATATATGTATGCCAATGGCGGTGACTGAATAATAGACTAAACACTTTTAGACTTAAAATACTGTCTATTGATGTCAACCAGTGTTTTAGTAATGAACTTCTTAAAACAAAAACAAAAAAAAACAAATGATGTCCTCCTGTATTTGTTCCATTTTAATAATTACACTTTCTCCTTAAAAATATTGTTAATGAACTATTTGGAAGATTTAAACTGAAAAATCACTTGTTCTTTGAACACTACATTTTGTTTACAACAAAACCTCATATGTCTATTATATTATCCAAATCTATGTTTGGTTATTTTAATTTTTAAAATAAACTACTTTATAAAATTCCTACTATGTTGACGAAAATATTGATTATCAATTTCAGAGAAGTGCCTTATAAATAACCAAATTTATACTTTGAACAAAGAAAACATAAATCGAAAAATCTAGTTTGAATTATTAGCCTATAATTCTAACGGTACTCTGTTTCTGCAGACTAAGTTTAAACATGTGATCTTGAACAAACTATCACAGGGTATTTACATACAAAGTACACCTGTGAAATATTCAATAAGCTGAAAAAACTCCGTTTTCATTTATCCACAAAAATGAGATTTATTTGTCAATCTAACGAATTAGTGGTGCGTAACATCATAAATACAACTGACCTCATCAACACCTACATATAATGACAGTCTAAAGCTTAGACTTAATTGTAATTACTAGTGACCTGTTCCTTACAGTATTTATACTTGAACGAGTTATTTTTGAGTTAACAAAGTAACAAAACATCAGAAATGTTTCTCTACTGATTGGGCTACTATGAATACATTATTTTCATGACCAAATATGATTTCAGAAAACACTTTTGAGATAGGTGAATATAGTTTACTTAAAAAATGTTTGCAGCTTTCACAAATACTAAAGGTCAAAATGAACTACGCTTACAGGTTTGAATGAATCAAAATCTACATAAACGACTCTACTAATAACATGACGTCTTGTTAATGAATAAGCCAGCTTTTGAGAACGAATGTAATTATATTCGAACTAATCAATCGGCGGCCGCTATCAATTCACTTAAATAAGCGTTATTTTAGGAAATTTATTTTCGAATGAACACAGATCAGTTGCAAACAGAATTCTTAAACACTTTATTACAAAACTTTTAAGCAGACTTGTTATAATCTCTCTTCTTCTTACGGTTATGACCCAGCTATTCCTATTGCTTAGTATTCTCGGACACCGATTCACTCGACAAGTCCCCAAATCAGAACACGGTTGAACAGGAAAGAGATTATATTCCAAATAACAAGGTTAGATGGAAGCAAGATGCAAGCCAGAAGCACAATAGGGAAAACGTCAGTATATTTATAGTTTTTACATGAGAAGATTCTAGAGTATTCTCCAACTATCGACTAGTGCTGATTGGATAAGAATTAGCCAATCAGCGTGCACCAAAGCAATCATGCATTGAGCATGCTTTAATCTAGTCTATGTCCCGCTAACACCTCCCCTTTGAGCAGATTCGTAGGATCTGGTGCTAGGGTCCAACTGCAACTGAGTGACTGGCTTGTGCTTTCGATTAGTTCATCGTCTAGGCAATAAAGAATTATCACTTTTTTCTTGCACAGATACTGACATGTCTGTTCCCGGCGTTTTGATTTTTTTTAAAATAAAAGTATGCATAACTTTTAATTCTCCAACATTCTCCTCCTCCGCGAAACAATGTCGGATCCTTATATCTCCAAGTTACAAATAATAGGACTTTATTTAAACGATGTTTCTTGCATTGAATGTCGGATCCACTAGAAATGACTAGATGATAATGAACGACCTTTGATTTGAGGTCAGAGTTTAATTCTTCTGAAGCATTACTTTCAAATCCATTAGAAATTTCATCAGTGGATAATGGATCATTACGGAAATCAACATCTAACAAAATTGAATTAGACTTTTGACCATAATTTGACTCAGCCGACATATTTCCTCATTTTTATAAGAAATTTCATCAAAATTACATGCATTATTCTGAGAACCCATATCTGATACATTGTCATTAGAAATCGGATAAGCTGATTCAATATAAATTTCTGTCTCACAATGATTTTGAGTAACATTCGGTATAATTGGGTTCATCGTGTCACTGCAGTTATTTTCTGAATACGAGTCCCCATAGCTTTCTCGGCTGATATCACGTGGACCATAATTTTGTTCTAGCTGAAATTTATTTTCAGAGCTAGACAGGACCAGTAGTGCTTCACTCAATTCTGGACTCCATGCTTCATCTACGGAGTCTGGCTCTTGATCATCTCGTATTGCCACAACTTTATGAGCATTCAGCACAGTATTTTCTTGCTGTGAGCCGGACACGTTACAAATATTACGTTCTGATTCAGGTATAAAGGGATTTGAACCCTCCACTAGATATGCTTCTGACTTGCTATTTGGAATGTGGCGACAGGGATGGGATACTGTTATAACCTCTCTTCTTCTTACGGTTATGACCCAGCTATTCCTATTGCTTAGTATTCTCGGACACCGATTCACTCGACAAGTCCCCAAAATCAGAACACGGTTGAACAGGAAAGAGATTATATTCCAAATAACAAGGTTAGATGGAAGCAAGATGCAAGCCAGAAGCACAATAGGGAAAACGTCAGTATATTTATAGTTTTCACATAAGAAGATTCCAGAGTATTCTCCAACTATCGGCTAGTGCTGATTGGATAAGAATTAGCCAATCAGCGTGCACCAAAGCAATCATGCAATGAGCATGCTTTAATCTAGTCTATGTCCAGCTAACAAGACTAAATTTTGATAGACTTTCTTACAAACTGTAAATATGGAGGACGGTAGCATTGACTCGTCTGATACTAATACTTCAACGTTGTCTACCACCATTTCTAACTCAGTATACTGTTGTTACGTATTTTCTTATTTAAGTATTGATAGTTTGGACGACTGACCTTATTAGGGTAATCCTCACACCGATCACTATGTGAAATAAAGCATTGCACAAACAACTCTTCCCTGCAGGTTAACTGGCTTCATCATATGACACCACTTAAAAGTAGATCAACACCTTTCTAACGCCACTTCCATGCCCACTTACCAATTTGAACATAAGTTTGGTGGCATTTATACAAAAAGGACTGAAAAAGTGCTTTAACGGTTTTTTCTGAACATGTTCTCGAGAGACTATGCCTGATAAGTAGTAAATTTGCACATATATAATTATTAGGCACTTAATAAATAGTGGACACGATGTGAATATCTTCTAAAGCATTCAAAATAATTGACGAACAAACACCAACTATACTCCGCTTTGTACAGGTTACTACGATCAAACGTTTTAAACCTGATCTATGTGGGCAGACGGAAAGTGTGGCAAGCCTCTCCTTGTACAAGTAAAGAGTTGTACAGGAATACTTCTATTTTTTGCATAATATTATTGTTTACGCATTGATTTGATTTTTGGCTTTATAGAATCACTCATTATCTCCATCATGATTGTATAGTGCCTCATAATTGTTAGTTACCTCTACTTCACATTACCAGTCATTTCCGACGTTTTCTTGCCAACATCAACATTGGCTTTATTTAATAGTATATGTAACATCTTTTTCAACCTGCCATAATGTTTGGTTCTGTTTTAAATAGTCAAGTTCGCTAATTACAGCATACCAAATCTGTTTTGAATCATTTACTGACTGGTCAGTTTATAATAGATGAATTTGTCGACCATCAGGACGGAAGATCCATTTGGTGCATAAAATGGCATAATTCAGATCCAGGTCGGCGGTTAAAAATGAACGAGCGTTATAAATAGACGGGATCAGTGGTAAAATGACTACATATAACAGTAAAGTTGATTGATTACATTTTTCCACATAAGTCTATGTCTCTTGACCAGATAAATGGTTTATTTTGCATTAATTTAAAGTTTTTTAGTAAACCTAATTGATGAAATTTTAAAACTGATCGTAGAGGCTTATGAACGAAACTTGCCTGAACGCCAGATATAATCATGTCACCAGCTGATTATTGGTAACATGAATCCGAGCAACGAAAAATGAGGCTCTGGGATGAAAATAAGCTTTTAACATGTATATTTGTGGAAAGTTACAAATATTTACATTATGATTAAGCAGTAGCAACCAGGTCAAACATATAGTGTATTCAAAATGATTTTTAATTATAAGAACAAAATACAATAAACAAATACCCGGAAATGTAGATTTATGTTTGAATTTTAAGAGATTCACTCCATGGTGCACATATTTGTGTAGACGAGTGTTTCATTTAACGGTTTTATTATTGCACGGATCGAAAACCAAGTCAAAAATAATAACTGGGAGTTGTAATGTAGGCATCATGGATGATCAGTCCAGATAAGAAAATCATATTCTAAGTTTAGATACATAAGATACTTAGAACAGAAGTAGACACTTTCAAGTTACTTTTTTCTTAAGTGCACTTTGAACATGGTTGGTTCCAACGTCATCTTCTCCATCATTGACTTCATAAACCCGATGAGGCTCTCCAGGCTTCAAAAGTCGCCCAACATGATCATAACGCTCTGTAGTACAAGACAAAAGTTTTATTTAGTCTTACTGAAATAAAAGGGTTTTTGAATATCGTATGCCTACTCCTCAGCACATAGTATACACAAACGACAATTTTGAGGTGTGATTTCTACTTACCTAACAGCTATGTCAATCCAAAAAATAACTATCGTGGATGTAATATAAAGCTAGCTTGGTTCGAGTAAACAACTACGAGATCTTATCAACTCAAGTACACCAAATCAATATCCTGAATCTATTCTTCCTTGTGAAGCTATGTTCGCTAATACATTTATTAATAATGACAATAAAACTCTAAATTCAAACAATGCAGTTTATATGGTCGATGTGCAGTAATGCTGATATGAATTTCATCAGCGTCAGATGAGTCATGCTGACGAATGTCAGTTATTTCTGGACTTATAATAAGGATTTCTTATTGGTTTGACATAATCACATAACACAGAACAATCAATATATTCACCTATGGAGCAGTGGCTTGTTGCTAAGAAATATTATATATATATATATATATATATAATTCAACATTATGCCCACGCCAATTATAGTAATGACAATGATAAAGATCGGTTCTACAGAAGGCTGCAATCGATCGCGAAGAAACACACAGCAAAGAACCTGAACATTCTGATGAGAGACTTAAATGTTAAAGTCAGAATGGACGACACCAGGTATGAAGATATCATGAGACGACATGGACTAAATAGGAGAAACGGACAAGAATGGTGAGAAACTTGCAAATCTATGTGCATTCACCAAATTGGTTATATGTAGTACAACATTCCCACACAGACACATGCACAAAGCTACATGGATCTCACTCGACCACACTACAGAGAACTAGATCGGGTGACTAAAACACTTCAGAAAGACAATGAAAGACGTGAGAACCAGGAGAGAAGTTAACATAGCTTCAGATCACCACCTGGCTGTGGTTAAGATGGAACTGAAGCTAAAGAAGCACCGGACAACTGGATAAGCAGCATTAAAAAGGCTTCATACAGCCTTCCTTCGAGATACAAGCTCGACGAATTCAAGATAACTCTCAGCAATAATTTTCGAGCCTTGGAAGAATTACTCGAAGAATGCGAAACTACTATGGAAGACAATAGGAGAGGGATCAAAGAAGCATTGACTTTAACGTGTCAGGGGGTTCTGGGCCACAACAAGCACCATCATAAGGAATAGGTCTCTATTGAAACCTGAGCATCAGGAAAGGTTTTTAACAGTGCGTTGCTGAACCACATGAAAGATTTCGGTAGACGTTCAACTTCGAGATCAACAAGCTGGATTCCGTAGGAATCGGTCGTGGACAGACCAAATCACGACACAACAGATCATTGTCGAACAATCAGTTGAACGGGACTCATGTCTATACATCAACTTCATTGATTATGAGAAATTATTTGACATTGTGAATAGGAGAACGTTATGGAAACTTTTTCTTCGTGATGGTGTACCTGAGAAGATCGTTAACACCACACGGAATTCATACGGCGGACTACACTGCAAAGTCGTGCATAGAAGACACCTGACAGACGTATTCCAAGTTAGGACTGTTATCAGACATTATCAGGTTGCTTACTCTCACCCTCCCTCTTTCTTCTGATGGTTGACTAGATAATAATGACCCCCCCTTTCCAGAAGAAACACGGAGTAGAATGGACAGCTTGCATGTAGCTACGCGATTTGGACTTCACAGATGACATAGCCTTTCTACTCCACACACATCAACAAATGTAGGCCAATACAAAGTGTAGCAGCAACCAATATCAAAGTCAGAATGTTTAACGTAAAGCTCAAGACAGCTTTACTGTACAGAGCTGGAACTTGGTGAACTACAACTATCATTAAAAAGTAAAGGTATTCGTAAACATTTGTCTAAGCAAGACACTCAATGTCCTTTGGTTTAATACTATCAGTAATAGCCTGCTGTGCGAGGGAACAAGCGAGCTTCTAACTGAAGAGGGAATTAGGAAAAGACGTTAGAGGTGGATGGGATATACGTTGCGGAAATCACCAAACTGCATCACGAGGCAAACACTAACTTGGGATCCTGAAGGCTAAAGGAAATTCAGAAGGCCAAGTAACACCTTACGTCGGCAATTGGAGGCAGACACTAAAGGAGTGAGTAGCAAATGTGAAGAGTTGCCGAGGACAAAGTTCGATGGAGGATTGTGGTGGGCAGCCTATATTCCATCACGAGGGTTGACTGGCGATAGACTAAATTGGATTGATGCTTTGCATACAGTAAATACTGAGACATCTAAACCTTAAATTTGGAAAATTTGAAGTTGTGTCGCTATTCGACTAGAAATTCAGCAAATAATTAACACACATTGGTAATAGATTTTTGTGGAACTGGAAGCGAAATACACGAAAGATACAACAATCTACCTGTTATAAGTTCATATGACTAACAATTGGTTGCCAAACACAGCCAGATATGCAGAGAAATTATATTAATAATTAGATGATAAAAAATTGAAGCATAAAAATATCAACAATGTGGTTTGCAAAAATTACATTCTTACCGGAAAACTGAAGTTCCCATTCCCTCAGGGTTTGCATTTGATCAGCAGTAAGATCAGAAAGATCGTCATAGTCATTTTTTGTTTCAAGGTTGAAGCACGCAAGTGCTCTTGATGCATCTCTACCGGCAAAAGCAGCATACGGTGCGCCTGAAACAATGTAACGTGGATTGTCAGCTTACCCTTGCCATAAAATCCCTGTCCTTTATTCGTGACATCGAATATCTTACCATTAACTGCGATTAATATTCTCTTATGTTCGCCACTGCCATCGAAGCTCTGAAGTTCTTCTAATGTGAAATCACGTTTCCCCATTTTCGGGACTTCACATTTCTGAGATTTCTTTTTTCTTAACAGTGGCCTCAGACTTAAATAAACGAGTAAAATGCATATTAGGAACAATGTTATGTTAATAGGACACTTGACTGCATCCATCACTGCCACAACGTAATCCCCCCGCTTTGGGCCATCCTTCCCCATTGTAGGGACAACTTTTGAAATGTGTTCGTCACTTCAAACAACAAACTTTGTTGTACTGCAACAATGAAGTTATAAAAAGATTTGATTGTCGTTCTGATATTCCAGAGTCTCGAAGGAGCCCCAGTGACTGGATTTCACTACTAAGCGACTGTTGAATTAATTTGAGAGAATCAAACGACCCTGATTCAAATACTAGACACGAGCATGATTTGGAAGAGGTTAGAGAATTTATTCACAACACCCTACCAGACAAACATATAGCAGTTCAGGCGATAAAATCGACGAAAATATGGAACGCCCACCATATAGACTCCTTAAGGTAATCCTAGGATCGGAGAAATAACGAGATTTTTGTTAAATAGGGCTCGAAGACATGATAATACCGATACTTAAGTGGGACCTGATTTGTCACTAAAATGTAGAGTAAAAAGGAAGACGGAAACGGCCGAACTAAAACCTCCTCTTAGTGGGTTTTCAAGTATTCAGGCTTTGCAAACGAATGCCACCAAAACTTGTTTGGATAGATCGTTATTATTGTTCTTGGGAATAGATTCCAATGAGCATCAGTGGACAAAACTTGGTTAGTTCATGACTGACGTCAACCATAGAATTATCCGGGTACTATTACCTAAGAAAAGATAGGAATAGATGCAGGAAATGGAGTGTGGTCCTAATATGCAAAGTTGGTAATATGATTATCTAGTCCTTCGTTTGTGGGTTCCATGACAGTGGAATTTTCGGAATAATTAGCTGTAAAGACACTTTCAAACTTTGTTCATTTATACTCGGTGTCATCTATCGTAGCTCAATCTGCACACAAAATCCTGGTCCGGTCGATGGTGGTGGGAGTCTGCTTTCCCGCTCTAAATGCTCTCACATGGCCATGCGTATACAGTCGCTGCCAGGAAAGTCCTACTTACTGCCTTTTCGTGTCGAGGTTGTTGTCTATGAAATCGAGAAGACGAGAAGCGAGTGGCCGGCGCTCTAGCCGGGTTGATAGATACGGAGAGTTCACCTAAGAGAGTTAGAAAACGTGGGCTCCAGGATATTGAGGGAACGAAAAACTCATGAACTCATCGTTGATCACCAACTACCATGGGACTGCATCTTCCAACTTTGCCCTTCGGATTAGACCTCAAGGTCAAAGGCTTGGTGAGTCACCTCCTAATAAAACCACCTGCGTCGGTTTGGGAGCCTGGGCTCTCCACAGATCAATGATAATTACTACTGGAAATTTATTCTTGCTTCAACTCCCGTCCAGACAAATCATATCCAAGATGACGGTCATTTTTATTTCTTCCATAATACGTCACTTATTTCTTCCTCTTTATCCCATTTTGCGCATCTCATTTCTCAACTTTAACATCAAACCAATCTAAGTTCAAAGTTAGCTACCATCTCACCCAAAAGTATGGATGGGGATCGGTTGCAGTTGTATGACGACGTAAAAAGGGCGAGTAAAGTCCCCCGTAGTTTCGTGAAAAGTCTCGCTTATAAGTACTAGTTTTCTTTGGGCTCCCTACAACTCGTGAGGCCCGCCGATCTACTCCGAGTGGCAGCGAGTTTGACCAATAAACGACAACTGTTACTTAATGAAACTGGACAAAGAAGCCTGATGGTTGAAGCGTGCCAATGAGTTGGAAGCAACAGCTTCATACAGTAACTGCCGCACTTTTCATTCTCTATCTCTCCACAACGTCATCATCAATACATGGCGCACACATATTTGATACCTCCAAGTACAAATGTTTACGTGTTCAAATGAATAAATGCACAAACAAGAAAAAATTTTTTCTAATTTGAAGACTTTGTTTCAGAGCAAAAAAAAGCTTTGGAGTAAAAATAATCGATGCCTGATATCAGCAGATTTTAATGCACTTAATTTTAGTTGGACTGAGACGGCCACTGTAAGATTTGTAAACTCCTTTGACAGTAGGATCCTGGTAACGGTAATGCAGCATGCTTTAGTATAGCATGCATCCGAATTCACAGGTTTTGGTTCAAACAAAGAATCTTTTTGTTAGACTTAGTGATCACAAATGCCATCAAGAATATCTCTCACCTAAATAGCGAATAGCAGTCATAATATTTTGTCACTCATGTATAGAGCTTGTGACATAATATGCAACCTGGTTAAATCTCGCCTAAATGTGTGGATAGCAAACATATCAACCATTTGGTTGTGCGCTGCAACAACAGACTGATCAGTAAATACTATCTCATCAGTTGAATAAGGTACGTTCGGTTTAGTGACTCCTCCGTTTGTACCATACTTGGTACCACGTAGACCAAATGACTGTCGTCTATGGAAAACTAAACAAGTCAAGAAACTTCTTAGATGTGAGTAAAAGCATTAGTATTTGTTCATCCGTACAGGCTCAGAACAGTGCAGAAGCTAACTCAGAGAGATAATGGGATCCCAAAACACTTGTTACATGACAATCTGTTGGTGTTGGCATAATGATGTTGCAAAAGATGAATATTTATCAAAATATTTTAGCAAAGTGTTTTCGGTTGACGATGTGGAATGACCAAAAATTTGTCGCGACCAGGGCAGCTTGTCGTTGGATCCTAGGGTTAGTGAGAAAGGAACTGTCCTACGGCTATGTCAACATCTTAAACCAGATATGCTCAGTGTTCCTGACGATGTGCACCCTAGGATTGGGAAAGTTTTGCCGGGTGTAATTTCTAGACGCATGGCTGTATAGTCTGATATGTGTTTGTCAGTCTAAATTGTCAAGAGAATAGAAAGACACATTAATCAGTCTGATGAACAGAGGTGAGCAGAGGGCATAATCGTTTGTCCAGGGAACAAAATGGTTTTTAGAAAGAGCCTATCATGTTTGAAAAATCCGTACATTACTAGAGAAGACTGGGCTGCTGCAAAAAACAGAAATATTCCTGTGGATGTGACTTTGACAAATCTAAATAGTGCTTCTGATAAAGTATCTCACCTGGGTCCTAGATTCAGATTGGAAGGTTTTGTAAACGATGTGAAATCACAGACTGGATAGGTGATTTTCCCAATGATGAGAGAGGGTGGTTACGGGTAAACGTGGATTTATCAGCATGCGAATCTGTAAAGATTGGATTTCTCACTGATACAATCTCCAATCCTCATTTTCTGTATTTCAGTGACTTACTAACTGTAACAAAGCCATCTTTTCTACCCTTTGTAGTAGTCATAAAGATTTGGAGACCGATACACAGGACGTTAGATAGAACAATACTACAAGGGGACCCAAATACACCAGTTGCATGAATGGGTGAGTGCTTAATACAGGTCACCTAACAAGAATGCGGTGATGCTATCAAGTAACTGCAACGATCTATATCACTACACAATATGTGGAGTTGTGCCGCCCAAAGTAATGGACTATAACGATCCAGGAGTCATGTTAGGCAGTGGCCTCAAAACTACGTGTGACTGCTAAGCTGTCCTGCCAATGGCTTATGGGCTATTTGCAAGTTTTTTCAGTACTTCGACAATGAAATACTTAGGGTATTATATCCGAATTTTGTGAGGCTGCATTTGAAATATGGGATTTAAGGAGCTATTTCTTGTTTCAAATATGAGGTGGATATGTAAGATAACTGGAAGCATTCTGATTAATGTTCTAGCTATGAATTCCCGAAACAGTGTAACTTAAGCCAGATAGAACTAGATTAGCACGAACGAATGTATTGTGTTTGGAATTCGTAACAAGCAGGAATTAAGTACAAAGCAATCATTAGTTCGTACAAATATCCCAATATGTTAGAACGGGTTAAACAATAACGGACTAGGATTCTAAAAGGTCTCTGTGGTCCATCTTATGAAGGCAGACTTAAGCACCTCAAGCTAATTTCGTTATTTTACTTCAGGTTACGATGCGATTTAACACTGACTAAAATAATAAAATCCCCTTAACACTGTATGTATAATCAACGGCAGTTTCGGTACTATTATGTTTTATCTCTTCTATCTAAAGTAGTTTGATTTGGGTTTATCGTGTACTAAGCGATGAGCTCACTATTGACATACTCTGTCTTTTCTTTCCACCTAGGACTGACCATCTTAAAAGATAATCTGAGAAAGTTTAGAAGTCGATATCCAATCATTTACGACTGGAGTTCCGATTCTCTCAGCGAGTAGTGAATTAATGGAATTCTCTGCTAGAACACGTAATATCCGTACCTTATGTTGATACATTCAAAATGAGATTGGGCCTCCACAGTGTTACAAATTACAAGGATTAATATAAGTCGATAGACCTCCTATCTCTACTACTAAAGTTTGAGACAGAAAGTACTTCGTGTTTTGTGCTTCTTCATGTTCTACGTCCATGTAAATTCCGCTTGCCAATATGTGAATACCAAAATGATAAGGTTGTCTCGTAATGTTCAGCCACTGGTAGACTTACAGATAGCCTGAAAATCCCATGTTTGCTAGGGTGGTGATAGTAACAGTGAGTGAGATCATCAGAGAACAACAGGAAAAGTAGACTGACGATTCAGCGCTTATTATGCACCCACACGTAACAGCAAGAGCAAATGACAGAAATAGTGAATAAAACGAGTGAGATCAATGCAATCTAATAATCAAGAAAGGATGTTGATAGTATAAGGTTTCGAAAGTGTTACCATTACTCAGAATGCAGAGGGCGTTAAGTACGGTTCATTATGGTAGGATTTTTGTGAAGGATTCAAATGAAGAATGCTAGGAATAGTAATGGCTTGGCAATAATGTTGCTCATTACACAGTCAAAACCGTGAGTTTCAAACCTAGTCCAACGAGATGTCAGGAATGTAGGAGTTCAAAGATATATTTCAGAGATGGTTTATATGTCGTGAAGTATATGAGCTAGGTTGACCAGGTGTTGTGAGGGAAGCGTAGAAAGGGCTACCGAATTGTGATCTGTTGCGGATACATGACCGAGAGCATCCAGCTATGATGTTTAGTAAAGCCAATTAGATCAGCATCAATATCAGGTAGTTACACAATGACTTATTACGGAGAGTTATCAACTGTGACAATCTGATTTGAGTTAAACTCGGAATATTGACTCTTTGTAATGTGAATCTATATG